ATGTTTTGCATGATATTTTGTTTTGTTTTACTGTATTTGTGGCCTTTCCACCTTAACCTTTTAACACAGTAATTAAATTACTATCTGTGGCACCATGGTGAGTATTCTGAAAGAAATATTTCAATCCTGGGTCTTAGACAAGGAGTGGATTCAGAAACATTTAACATACTTTTCCTAATGATTTGTTGTTATCTTGGTTTTTAAAGCTGTCAGTAAAGAAGAGCGTTTTACTATCCTTTATGGATGGCACTTCTGAAAACTAATGTTACTTAGTAAGGGAAAAAAGAAGATAAATTATTTCAATGACTGTTTAAGGATTTCCTCACAGAGTGTCACATACAGAAAATGGAAATAGAAAATATCTCCCTGCCTTTCTATGAAAAAATGTAAAACAAATTACCATGATTTTTTTCAAATGATTAGGTCACAGAGTAATCTCTGCTGCTAAAAATGAATGATGAAGTTCATTCTGCACAAGTTATTTCTACCAAGACACAGAGAAAAAGAGCAGCATGTCTCTCAGGCCCACACACAGCACTCCCCAGCTGGGCGCTCTGGCTGGATTGCCACCCTGAGGATGCTGGTGGCTGAAGCTTCTGGAGCATGGTCAGTGCACTAAATTATCAACTTTTCCACTTTCATAAAGTTTTGGTCTTCTTCTTTTAAAACTTTATCATTTTAATTTGTAATAACCTTCAAAGAGTAAAGACTACAGAAAACCAGGTATTAAGTTTTTTATTTCAAATTTGGTGTATCCACTATCTTGTACTAGGCATCGCTGTGGCCGTTCTTCAGACATGATGAGCATCTCTTGGATCTAGGCCTATCATGAACTGAACTTTCTCATCTAGTGTTAATTTCTGTGGAGAGCTTCTTTAAAATGGAAAATAAATTTTCTTTTTACCACTATTATAGCCTGAGTTCAGCTAACCAGGTAATTTTTTTCAACATTTGCCATCTTTAATCAGAAGGACTGAAGAAACCAAAATCAAAATAATAAATTTTTTTCTTTTTTCTTTTTGGAGATAGGGTCTTGTTCTGTCACCCAGGTTGGAGGGCAGTATATGGTCACAGCTCACTGCAGCCTCCGCTCCTGGGTTCAATCGAGTGCCCACTCCCACCCTCCCACACACACATATCAACTTCCCAAAGTGCTGGGATTACAGACGTGTGCCATCATGCCTGGTCAAACCAAAATTTTAGATCATTATGCAGAATTCAAAAAACTTAACTATAAAAGAAATTTAAATAATTAAATTTTTAAATTCACTAGAACTTCAGAGACACCTTCTATGTCTTAAATCTCAGTATGAGAGAAAAAAAAAAAAAAAAACACTGTTTTGTTTTTGCCCCTGTGCCCCAAATTTTGTGCCTTCCAAATGCCCCTGGATGTGAGGGGTTTGTCCCTTCTCTACTTTTCAGTGCAGCCTGGGCCCATCCCAGTCTGCCTCCACCTGCTGCTGCTGGCAGTGCTACACATCACTAGCACTCACTGTAGAGTATTGTGTAGACACAGCCACCAGGCTACAAGTCTTGTCTCAGAAACTCCTCTTGCTCAGGCCTCTCACCCACTGTAAAAAGATGGCAGTAGTTCCTGCCTTTTAGAGTAACTGCACATACCAAATAAATTTCTCCGTGGAAAGGATCTAATCCAGTGCCAGCAATCACTCAGTAATTAGAAGCTATTTTACAGTGCACCTATTATATCACTGTATTATTTATACATTAACCGACTAGGTACCTTGTGGAATGTTTTTATCACATGTTTATCCAATCCTTCTAAATTTCAAATAAAAAAGTTGTCTTTATCCTTAATTTCTAAATGTGAACAAGTGGAAACCTTTTGCTATATTTTTAAGGTGACTATATTGTAGGGTATCAGGCTGCCTTAACAGTATGGCTTCTGGATTCCTTTATAACTTAATCCTCTTGTCATATGCTTTAGTGGGATTTGTTTTGTCCTCTTCTTTCCAATAGTTTATTGGAATACTGGCATTAAAAATATTAACAAATCCTTATAAACATCTACACTAAGCTTTTTGGGGGGGGGGTTCAGGTTTTGGCCAGGGCCAGGTTTGAACCTGCCACCTCTAATATATGGGGCTGGTGCCCTACTCCTGAAGCCTAAGCCACAGAGTAGGCTTAGCTTAGGCACTGCCCTACACTAAGCTTTTTAAAAAGAACTTTCCTCTCCTCTCTCCACCCCATTAGCCATAGTACATGTGGGGTTGATGTGGGCACGTGTGTGTGTGTGTGTGTGTGTGTTTGATGTGGGCACGTGTGCGTGTGTGTTGGCACGCTCACAAGGTGTGAGCTGTGGGACTGTGCTAAATTATCCTCTCCCACAAGACTAGAACTTTTGACCTTGCTCAGAATGGCATATGACTATATTTTGCCTCTGTGTCAAAAAGAGTAATCAGTTGCTTTTGTTTTAAAAAAGTTTTCTTATTTTTAATATAGTGCTAAACTGGACAAGTATTTTGTGAATTTAAAATTTGATTATGAAATTCTTTTCATGAGAAGTTGTATCTTGAGCTGGAGTTATCTTCGATTTTCATGAATTCACTCATCCTTTCAACACAAAATTCACAGAGTGTCTCTAGGCACGTGTGCAGCAGGTACTCAGCCCTGCCTCAAGAGGTCCAGTGTCTGGTGTTTTGATGGAGCAGTAAACAAACCATTGCAAGCAAGGTGATAGGTGATACCAGGGAGTAGGGGCGCCTAACCTTAGCTGTGAGGAAAGCAGTGAGACCCAGCTTCAGCTGCTAGAATAACTAGAAGTTGATCCAGACAGGGAGAGGGCCCCAGGTATTCCTGAAAGAGGAGCAGCCTAGGCATCTGTTTCAGCCTCTTCAGGAACTACTAGGATTAGGATGGAGCAGAGCAGGAATTGGAGTTTGTACCTCGCTGAAGGACCATGCCAGGGCTTTCTGGAGGATGGGGACAGTGACATAGTTGGGTACACACTATGCAGGGTGTGCTAGAGAAAGTAAGATGGGAGCCGGTGGGCATAGTCAGGAGGCTGCCACTGGAATCTAGCATGGAATTAGTGATCTAAGACCATGGCTATGGAAGATGGGATGGAAAGGATATTTAGGCAAAAGACCTAAAGATTGACAGAACACAGTAACTGTTTGGGTTCGCAAGAAAAAAAGAAGAGTCTGGAATGACTCCTATGGTTCTGGCTTGGAAAATCAAAGGCCCTTCCTCCAAAGAAAGGGGAGGGAGCAGGTAGAAACTGTGGGGCAGTACCAGGACGAACTAGTCTTTGGCAAAGTGCACCTGTAGTATCATCGAGGCACATGGAGGGAGTGTGTGGGGACAGTGGTAATCAGTAGGGTAAGCTGGCTGGACTTCCAGGGAGGACTTAGGGAGAACCTGCGTGCAGAGTATGGAGGACACAGTCAGGAGCCCATGTGAGAGGAGAGGATGTGCTGGGGCTAAGACTCCCCACCAAGCCCCCCTTACAATGGGGAAGGAGCCCAGAGGACCAGCCTAATCCCCAAAGGGCCATGTAGGGAAGCCCGGGGTCAAGAAGGATCTCCAGGAGTAGTTAGCTTAGGTGCTCCGGAAAAGTCAAAATAAAGATCAAATTTATCTGATGGGTGCCCTTGGTAAGCATATTTTCCACATAGGTGTGGGCCAAAGCCAGGCTGCTAGGGGCTGAGAGGCGAACAGGAGGCGGGAAGTAAGACTCTCAGGCAGTGAGAGTTCCTTTTCAATTCTTGGCTGCAGTGGGCAGAGGAACACTGGTAGGACTAACTAGGGGCATCAGGTGGAAAGTGGCAGAGATAAACGTGTGTGCACGAAACCACCTGGAAGAAGCGAAGCTGCTGCAGGAGCTGGTGGATGGGAAGGCGAACAGAGTGCACCGCGCAGGGGCTGGGGTGGGGAAGAGGTGTGCTCTCCCAGCAATAGGAGGGACTTGATCACGGGGCTGAGCAAAAGATGAGCGCAGCGTGAAGCCCGGAGACCCTCAGCCTGAAGCAGCCCCCCACACCCAAGAGTGGCCTCCACGCTTGGTACAGGCGCCCACGACTTCAGCCCAGCCAACGCTCGGGCCTCCATCCCCTCCGTCCAGGGCCCTGCCCCCCTGTACAGCAGGCTGCGTCGGCTCCGGAGGGCGCTCAGCAAGGACAGCAGGGGCCCGTCTCTTGCCTGCTTTGGCTCCTCTGCTGCAGTGTCAAGTTCGAGACCGTAGTGTCTCCAGAAAAGTGGCAGAGCTGCTCGGGAGAAGTGCAAGGAAGAAACGGGGGCTGGAAGTAAAGACAGGAGGCTGGGGAGGCGGTGGCGTGGGTGAGCTGGAATAGTCTAGAAGCTGAAGGGAACAAAAGCGGTGTGACTGGTGCGCCTCTTGGAGACCCTCCTCCCTGATAGAATATGTATGATCCCACGAGTCCTCGCCTGCTGCGCAGCTGGGAGGTGTCGGAGACAACGGGGTGCTAGCCTAGACTCCCTCTCGGGCTGGGGCTCCTGTACCAGGGAGCTGCTCAGCCGAGCCCGTGGCGCCCCGACCCCGGACCCCAGCGAGTAAGAGCCCCGCCCTCCCTCCTTTCCGCCCTCTTTTCCTCCCTCCCTTCCTCATTTCCTCCTCCCTTCTTTCATTCCTCACTCTCTTCATCCCTTCCTCTGGCCGGTCCATCCTGGTTCCCCGACGTCTCCAGCATCGGTAGCGGAGAGCCGGAGACCCAAGACCTGGCCGCTTCTGAGCCAAGGTCCCCTTCCCCTTCCCCTTCCAGAGCCTGGGCCAGGGAGGGGAGCGCAAGCTGGCATCTTAGGTGCCCACAGTCGCTCTGTGGGGACCTGGTGGCGCTCTGTGCTCTGTCCCTACGTGCTGCGCTTGGCCACCCCGCCGCTCCTTGGGGCCTCTGCTGGGAGGAGCCAAGCGCGGCGGGGAGTGCGGGCCCGGGGACTCGCCGCCACCGCCAGTATCTTCCGCAGAGCTCGGCTCCCTTGCCACCCCCGGCTGGGTTCAGTTGTACAGTGTTTACCCAGCAGATCTTTAAAATAATTACATTTTTTAAAGCCTTTCGTTCCGCGCGTTTTCCTTACAGCCTTTTCAATTGGGAGTTTGCGGCGGGCGGGGAGGGAGAAGAAAGTCCTGTTCTGACCGAGAAGCGCCGAGAGACCTGGGCCTCTCTCAGCAGCGAGGGCAGCGGCCATCGCAGAGCCTGCGGCATCCACGCGTGGCTTTTACTTTGCGCGCACATTCCTGACTGTGCCTAGAGCCATCGAGCAGGCAAGCATGGGGTGTTTGGGCAACAGCAAGACAGCAGAAGACCAGGGCGTCGATGAAAAAGAACGACGCGAAGCCAACAAAAAGATCGAGAAGCAGCTGCAGAAAGAGCGCCTGGCCTACAAAGCCACTCACCGCTTGCTGCTCCTGGGTAAGCCCGGGGTGCGGTGGCTCCTGGCCCCGCGGAGAAGGGCCCGGCCCGCAGCGCTTACCGGGCGGCGGAGCCCCGACGGCTGCCGGGCCTGGTGGTGCTCGAGACTTGTGAGCGGGTGCAGGTTACAGCGTTCTTTTTGCTTGTTTTCAGGGGCTGGCGAGTCTGGGAAAAGCACTATTGTCAAACAGATGAGGATCCTGCACGTCAATGGATTTAATCCGGAGTAAGAATGATCGATTTCCGTTCTGCATCCAAATTGCTTGTAAACTTTTCCTGGCCTTTCCAGAAGTGCTTTCTCTCAACAGTTTACTTGATAATTGAGGAGACCTGTAAAGGGAAAAATAACAGATATTTGCTGCTGAATTTGGTATATTTAGCAAATCCTTCTTCTGGTAGTGACTTTAAAAATATTTAACTAAATAGGATTTATTAGATATTCTTGGATATTGGTCTGTATTATTGGTATTGCTCTGAGCATGCTTAATATCTCAATGTACACTTTCAGTATCTTTTGTTTGCATATATTTCCATTTATAACTATTAACAAATGGATAGACTTAGGTAAAACATATTTATAACTGTTTAGTTGTGTTTATATCCAACATCCATAATGATTTTGCCACTTCTTTGGTAACAAAACATGGTTGCTTAAAGCTATAAGTTATAAAATGTATCCTTCAAGTTTTTTTAAAATACAGATTAGAAAAAGAGGATATTTTCCTTTCCCAGATAACACCTGTACAAACCTGAACTGACATTCCCCTCTAGTGAACCAGGCTAGCTTGGTGCTGCAGCCCACTCAATTGACTGGAATCAGTGCTAAGGGTAAATTAAGCTAATAAAAATTCTCTTTCAATACAGGGAAAAGAAGCAGAAAATTTTAGACATACGGAAAAATGTTAAAGATGCTATTGTGGTAAGGACTTTTTTGGGGGGGCTTGTTTACTAGAAAGTTTACTTAACCTGTGTAGACAAAAATTATATATTTTAGATTATCACACATGGAGCCTAACTACTCTTTATCCATATTTTTTCACCCTATTTAAGACAATTATTTCAGCGATGAGTACTATTATACCTCCAGTTCCACTGGCCAACCCTGAAAACCAGTTTCGATCAGACTACATCAAGAGCATAGCCCCTATCACCGACTTTGAATATTCCCAGGTAAGCAAACCCTTACTGAAATATTTTAAGTAGTGAAAGAATGGAAACAATTCTAATGAAGTTGCATGTTGAGAATCAATGTTAATACTAATTCATTATTAACTTTCCTTGAGATCTAGCTCTGTAAATGCTGAAGAGGAATGCCCACTTTATATCAGAATATTTGTGTTAAAAGTATTAAAGACAATAAGATTATAAGAAATGCTTTTTTGAATGGATGGGTAAGGCTGATAATCAGGAAGACAACATGCTTTCTAGAAATGTTGATAGCATGCCTTTCTCCTGCATGTGTTCTTAAATGAACAGTTAAGCAGTTTCTCAGATAGCAACAGTAGAGAAAAATATTTATGGTAAGTAATCTCCTCCATGGGAATAACAGCAAGAACAGAATGTCTTAAAATGTGCACCCTTCAGAACACATGAGAAAAGAGGTGCATTCTGTAGCATAGATCTTCACATCTGTATTACTCAGGGCTACTTTCCTGATCGTGTGGATGGTAACATTGCTTAAGCAATAGTAGTTTTCTCCCATTTTAAGAATATGCATTTCTTAAAAATGTTGTTATTTGGTAATTTGATAGAGCATGTTTCAAGGAAAATTACTTGTTAAATTTCTCAGAAAGTAATTAGTGTTACAGCACACCAAAAGAGTGTGTGTGTGTGTGTGTGTGTATGGGTATCTCTGTAATGGGTTTGCATTACCTGGCATGGTGGTTTGAAGATATTTTTCATTCTCAGAATCCTTTCTTTGAAGGTAAGCTTGTGCAGAATTCAATGTGTAAAGCAGAGAGGCACTGCCCAGTTTGTCTGCAAGGCCACTGCACCTGCTTGCCACCTCTTCTCTAACCTAGAGCACCCTTGTACTATGGGCTTTGACATGGGATGTCTGAGGAGAATGATTTTTTTAAAAGATTGTATTCTGATCATTTAATGTGATTTTGCTTCTGAATTTCTAGAAAGGAGCAGAGCTGGCATACCAGCTGGAGGAAGGGGGTAGCAAGGGCATGGCCTGTGGGCAGGCACACTGTTTTTACTAAATAGTGTCTTTAACTGGTTAAAGTGGAGAGGGGCAAGGAGATGATGTGGAAAGTGCAGGGTGGGCCAGAGCACACTCTAGCCACCCTGGAAGCCCCTGATAACTAGAGCTACAGGTGTCCTCCCAATTCTCACTGAGATCACATGATTAGAGAAATCACCCAGAAATCTATAGTCCTGGTTGAAATCAAGAGCGGCATTCCCTTCCAACCTCAGATTAGACGTTTACACACAAGTATCTGACCTCTCTGATTTGTCCTGTTTATCTAAAAGTAATTATAAAACATCTCATATATTTCATAAACCTCACATAACACTTCTAGTGAGAAATTGAAACTAAGATTTATTGATCAGGCCCACGATCTCTTTCTCCAATTCATGACAGACTCACAGATGATAAGGAATTCCACATTCAACTCAAAATCCAGAAGCAGTCAGTAACTCCCACATGTGTTATCCAAAGAATTCAAAGCCCTACTCTGCAAAATGTTTCTTAAGCTAAATCACAGTATTTTTAATTTTTAAAAAAAACTTGAGAAACCATTTCCTTTCAATGTATGTATTTTTTATATAGGTAATTTAATTACTTAAAAATGATTATCAGAAACCATTATTAATTGTTAGTTAAAATAAAAGAATTTCACCCCAGCAGATGGGAATGTAATTATGATGCTCTTTCAGACACAATGTTCTTTTGGTATTTTACTGGTGTTTTTAAGTCTAACCTTCTGTTATCTTATATGTCTGTTCTCATATCCAATGAGAATACAGCCCACTATTATATAAGTAAGGAAGTTAATATTAAATATTTAATGTTTCTTCTGAAATGCTATGTTTTTAATATGCACACCATTTCTGTGACATTTATTCCCTAGGGCTTAGAAATATTTATTATTTATTTCATTAGATTGTATAGTTCTTGGATTCACATTTTGGTGATCCTCACTAGGAATAGTACAAGATAACTCTCTGACTTTTGTGACTGTAATACTTGGCACATTTGAAAAAAAGTAATTTTAATTTAAAGTATGTAGTTTTTAGTTTATTTACTTTACCTAAAGGAATTTATGTTTTTAGTAACCATTATAAAAGTAGAGCTAAATCAGGGATTTTAATGGAAACATAGCAGAATTTTCCTAAATCTAGTACTTTTTTGAGGTTGAATCCTTAAGAAAATCTATCAGTGTTACAATCCAGTTTTCTGAGGGTCTTCCTCCTGTAGGCATGAAGTAACTTCTGAACCAAATATAGTCTGTCATTAAAAATTAATTTCTTATTCTAGTTAGAATTAGAGTAGTTATTTTAGAAGTGTCTTAAGGCTTTCCTCTGAGCATTTCACTCAAGGGGGGGCAAACACAGGAGGCTGCCCTTTTGCTCTTTATATTGCCTTCATGTGAATTTCAGTTGAACTCCTTGTACCAAAGTAGTAGCAGAAAGAAGGTGGATGTGGCTGGCGCCTATCAGGCAAGTCTGTTTGGGGAAGTTAAAGAGAAAGACAGTGTCTTTCCAGCTCACAGGCTGGGTGTATGCAGATACAGCAACCTCTAGAGGTCCTTGCAGTGGAAAATAGCCATCCAGTCGTGCTTTGTCAAGATTGCTCTGGCTGTGGGTAGAGAGCAAGTGGTGGGGAGGCTGCCACCGAAGTGGAGCAAAGGTTTCCAAGGCTGTTATTGTGCTCCAGATGAGAAACAGCGGGCAGCTTGGCAAGACAAGGCAATTGTGAGGTGATGTACAGTGGCAATGGTAGGAATTGGTGTTGGAAATAGAACATTCAGTCTTGCTGGTATTTGAATGTTGGTGTTGGGAGAAACAGAGAAACTATGAAAGACGTGTTTTTGGCTTGAATTTCTGCATATATGATTAGAAGAGGCTAAGAGGGGGAAAGAGTGAAGAGTTTTTGTCTTCTTGGTAAATTGAAAGTGACAGTTGCAATGTCTTTATGGGGATGTCAAACAAGGAATGGGAATGTGTGAGAGGCTGCACAGGTGTGGCCTGGGGACAGAGGTCAGTGCAGAGCTAATGATGAGGACAGTACAAGGGGCTGGGAGTCCTCTATGCAGGCTATGAAGGGATTCTAGGAGTGTAGCAGGAACAGGATGGTGGGGTGGGCACGTCCCAGGCAGAGCTCCCCACCATTGGTGGGGAGTCACAATGGGCATTCAAGAAACATAGCTTTGGCAGCTTGAAGCCCCCAGTGTCCTTGATAAGGACCCAGTTGAGAATTGGAGGCAACGGCTAGGGTGGGCTCCTAGAGGTCTTGCTATAAAAGGAAGCCCAGAAGGCAGGTGAGGTCAAAAGACAGTTTCTTTTAAGATAGAAGAGAAAAGCCTTTGGGACATAAAGGACCTGAATCGTTTGGTAAAGCTGGGAAAAAATGACAATACTGAAGAAAGAGCCAGGAGCCCAATCCCTGAGTGGTAAGAGGACAGGATCAGTTCTGGCACAAGGGCCCAGTCCACCTCCCCACTTGGCAGAGAGCATGTACAGATACAGGTGAGTTCAGATTTGGTGATGGGGATCGGGGAGGGTTTGCTCACAAACCTTTTAAAACAAATCGTTAATGCAAATTAGCAACTTTTGTGGGAAAGATCATCTAATTACTTTCGCAATATCCATAAACTGACCTCTGCTGTTGTACTGTGAGTTGTACTGTCCCTGGTTATGATGAACAGGTGAGAAGGTCTTGTGACCTTGACCCCAAGTCATAAAAGCCAGAAGTGTCAAGGGGCATTTTATACCAGTGTGAGAAGCAGAAAAAAAAAAAAAAAAATCCAATTGTCCTCACAGCAAACTGACAGGATATTTGCTGCTGAGTAAAGTGAAATTTTGGGAGACAAGACTGACATAATATGTTAAATTTTAATTGCAAATGAACTAAATGCAAAAGTATTTTGCAAAATACAAACTATAAGGTAAAGGGAAAGCACTGGTATTAGGTACAAATAATGAATCAACAGTTGCCTGGTTATGGATTTTTTCTCATAAATATATCCAAAACGTAAGATCATCTCTGCTCTGGACCTGACACCTCTCAAGATCCTTCACTAATTGTCACCAAAGGCCGGGTGCAGTGGCTCACGGCTGTAATACCATCACTCTGGGAGGCCGAGGCAGGTGAATTGTCTCACCTCACAGGTTCAAGACCAACCTGAGCCAGAGTGAGACCATCTCTAAAAAAAAATAGCTGGATGTTGTGGCAGGCACCTATAATCCCAGCTACTCAGGAGGCTGAGATAAGAGGATCATGAGCCAAAGAGTTTGAGGTTGCTGTGAGATATGACATCACAGCATTTTACTGAGGGTGACAAAGTGAGATTCTGTCTCAAAAGAAAGAGAGAAAAAAAAAAAACAAACTAGGCTCGGCCCCTGTAGCTCAGCTGTTAGGGCACCAGCCACCTACACCGAGGGTGGCAGGTTCTAACCCGACCCGGACCTGCTAAACAACGACAACTACAACAAAAAAATAGCCAGATGTTGTGGCAGGCACCTGTAGTCCCAGTTACTTGGGAGGCTGAGGCAAGAGAATAGCTTAAGCCCAAGAGTTTGAGGTTGCTATGAGCTGTGACACCATGGCACTCTACTGAGGATGACTTAGTGAGACTTTATCTCAAAAAACAAACAAACAGGGCAGTGCCTGTGGCTCAAAGGAGTAGGGCGCTGGCCCCATATGCTGGAGGTGGTGGGTTCAAACCCAGCCTCAGCCAAAAGTGCAAAAAAAAAAAAAAAAAAACCAAACAAAAAAAACACCACTACTTGTCACCACATCTTAGCAACCAAATTCTATATATATATCCAGCACAGAGGATGATGGAAAAATAGTCTTGAGTGACAATTATGAATCTAGATAGATATATTGATCATTTATAAAATAGGAAAAATGATGTGGTTATTCCCCAACCCCCAAGAAACAACCCTTATCACAGTACCAGGGAAAATTGCTATTGAATTGAATTGAATTATTCATT